AAATTATACTAAAACAATTATTCACCTCAGGCTCGGTGATTATCGTGAATAAAAACCTCGACTTCGTCTCGGTTTTTATTCACCGATAATCACCTCGCTTTCGGCGAATAATTGTTAAATATATATGTATGTATGTATGTATGTATGTAGCGGTTTTTGAGTAGTTTTTATATGTAGCGGTTTTTGTACGCTCATAATTGCGGTAGGTGTTTACGTATACTATAACTGTATAAGGATCTCATCTCTGTGTTTCTGAGGTAAGGTATAAACGCGAAAATTGTGCCGAAATGTTAAGGTTGGTAATGCCAATGGTATATGGATAGAAATTGGTATGGAGGAGGAGTGTATATGTCGAGTATAAATGTTAACATGATATATGTATTTAGGTAAAATGTTAACATGATATGTATCTTACGATTGTATTTAGGTTTTTATTAATGTATTATATAACAGTCGTTTAATATTGTGACTTGTGTAAATGTTTACTGTTGAATCTAGGCTATATGCTATAACCAATGCCTTAAAGTTAAGATTTAACAGTTCTATTTCATAATTTGTTTTTGCGATTTAAAATATTCTTGAATAGTCGACTTCTTGAATAGTTGACATTGTGTATATGTATATAATTTTGGCAAGTTCAGCTTGTAGACATAAGCTACAGTACGAATCCAATGTATAAATTATATTATTGGCCTTTGTCTTTGTCACTTTGGTATTTAAATATTTTAAACTAAATGTCAGTATAACAATGCCAATGGTTGACCCCGAACAACTGAAGATCTTCACATATAATCAAATATCACTATAGCTATACAGCATTCATAGAATATTTGTAATATTTATAACAACATAAAACTTATGGAGTATTTCCTAGTTATAACATTTTACGAGTAGAATATTTTCCAGAGTAATACGGTTTCTTTTTGCTCTCCTCGTACGCGAAAGTACTATACTACTATTTCTTAATATTTTTGCGTTCTTTCCATGCATATACAGTGGGGTCAAAAGTCTGAGTCCAGTCAATATGCTTTTGCTTTTTATTGATATACGATATATTTTCACACAATAGAGCATTACAGAGCATTATATGTGCGTCAAATAAGGATTTACATCAACGTTGGGATTGATTATACTATATTAGCCAAGTGAACATTATTTTAATATTTTGTGTGACCTCCTTTGGATTTTAAAATAGCTTTAACTCTTCCTGGCATAGATTCAACAAGTGTTCTAAGTACTGCTGGCTTAAAGTTATTCCAGCATTGATTTATAAGGACATCCCATAGGTTTTCTTTACTTGTGGGATCATGTTTCACTTTCCCTCGTTTCAAATGATCCCATAAATTCTCAATAGGATTTTATAGGTCCAGAGATTGAGGAGGAAAATCCCTAACAACTAGATCACATTTCTCTTGCTTCCTTCTTCAATAATTTTTACACATGTGAGAAGTGTGTTTCGGATCATTATCCCGCGTTGCAAGACAAATCCCCTTCCACACAACTTTAAGCTAGATGGTATGGCTTGTCTTTAAAGGATGGAGTGATATTTTTGTTTCGTAAAAATTAGTTAATAAGTAGGGAGCAAGAGAAAGGTGATCTGGTTGTTATGGATTTCCACCTCAACCTCCAGATCGAAAATCCTAAATCCTATTGAGAATTTATGGGAACGTTTCAAACGAGAGAAAGTGAAACATAATCCCACAAGTAAAGACAACCAACCTATGGGATGTCGTTGATCAATAAGACTGGAATAACCTTAAACCATCAATACTAAGAAAACTTGTTGAATCTATGGCTATGGCAGGAAGAATTGAAGCTGTCTTAAAATCAAAAGGAGGTCACACAAAATATTAAAATAATGTTCACATGGCTAATATAGTATAATCAAATCCTTGTTCGACGCACATATAGTGGTGTGTTGTTTAAGAATATATTGTATATCAATAAAAGGCAAAATCATATTGACTGGACTCAGACTTTTGACCCCCACTGTATATGCATGTCAAACACATCTTAGTGTTTTTTTTTTGTGGATCATTAATAAATGAATGCCAGTGTATGATATTTACGCGTGTGACTGATTTTGTGACTGTCATTTTAGCATTGGAGGCAGTTCGAATACTTCAGGAGTATTACAGTATAAAAGAAGTATTCTTTGACTTTGGTTATTTTTGCAATTGATCGCGATATATCGACAAACTATAGTTAGTATAACAACCTATATAGTAAACATGATAAACATTTATATCGATAAATTAGTGATTGGGATTGGCTGTTCAAAATTAGAATTGCAAACTAGCAAAAATGTGTAGGAGTGAGCACAGACGTTTGTGGAAGTGACGTGGGAGTGCAATATGTCACGAACATTTGTTATTAAATGCCATGCATATAGGGTAAATCCCCTTGCATATTTAATGCAGACATTGCATGCGGAGGTGTCAGATTGCATCAGGCATGCGTCCCATAATCTCTATGTTTATAGTACGTTCTATCACAGGTTCTATTTACAAACTAAGAGATGGACCATCAATATACGGCAATGATCTTGAAAGCTACTATCGCTTTCTACCACAAGAATGAAATGTAGCTAGCAGTTTACAGAGATGCGAATTATATTTCCTGCTGCGCAAACTACTGCCTTTAAACTAAGCATCGTGGCTTCAAATATGAGTTGCAAAGACTATCTTGAATTGAATTTTATTTGCCCATATGGAAAAGTTAATATTTACAATCTTCAAAATATACAATATGACGGGCTAGGAGCCTTCATGAAACCCTTTCAGGCTTTTTGTTCAAAGGCCCCTAGTTCTATAATATTTTTACAATTGTTTTATATGGTAAGTTAATCATATAATGTCGAAAGAATATAGGAATATTTACAAATATAAGTATAAAGTAAGGAAATTTTAAAGTAAAAGTGATATAATGAGCTAATTGAACAAAGTTTACAGATAATAACAATTAAGTATATTTTACAAGAAAAATATTTTTGACGTTTTCTTAAAAGTACAATAAAACGTAATACTGCTAATTTTTTTATCTAGTGAATTCCATATCTTCTACTAAAATTTACATGAAATTTGTTAGCATTTCGAGTATTGTAATGATGCACTTCATTGTTCTGTGCGAAGTAGCCATTACAAAATTCAGTTAAACCGGTACATAAATAAACAACTTAAATAGTCATTGATCTTAAAGATATTCAAGATCTTTAAGTTCCGAAACAATGGTTCAGTGTGTTCAAGATAGATACGATTTAAAACTTATCAATCTGATAATTTTTTTCTGTATATTCAGTATTTTCTGTATATTCAGTATTTTCTGTAGCCTTGTTGGCAGTATATTAATAATATAGCAGTATTATTAAAAATCCTTTTATGCTTTGAACGTGGACAGCTAAAGATACAGAAGAATTGATTGTATCAACATGGACTTTCTCCAATTCTCCCAGAAGCCAATTTTAAAAAATAAGTACGCTATAGCGTACATGGCGTCTACGCACTGGTTGTTCGATGTCAGAATTGCACAAATTAAATATGTTTTAATGCAGATAAAATACATGAAATGACCTCTTTATTACTCGCTGGGG